AGCAGAGACTAAAGAAAAATAATAGCATAAACAAACACTCAACTCTAACCACTCACAAAACACGGCAGAAGCAGGTAAAGTGAGCAAGTTTAGCTGAACTGTCATCGAGGACTGCTACTGGCTTGACAAGACCTCAGATAGAGACTTTATTAACACAACAAGCTAACAACCTAATTAATAGACAGAAGTAAGAGGAGTAGGTATTAAAACACTTTTTTCTACTACTGTTCTTTACTTAAAATCCTGATAATCACAGAAGACTCCAGATGTCTGCAGAATGATTGTCCAACTACCTGGCAGCTATTAGAGAAAAATGACAGCAATTCAATGACAGGATTCAACACAGTACCACAGTATTTGGAACAGGGCGAGGACCCCCGTTCCAGAAACAGAGGTGGAACCAGCTAACAGAAGACAAAATTTTTGCATTAGAAATAATGCAAATCACATGTTTTCCTACAGAAGGAGCAGCTAAGACTGTCAGGACGGAATATCAATTGAATAAAACCCCTCAGAATCAGAAATTTCAGGAAAAGAAGGAATCAGAGTCAGAGAAGCAATGGTAACCAGGAACAAACCCAAACACACTAATAAAAAATAGTATCACTAAAATAAAAAATAAACACAGTAATAAAAAAATATCAAGGGAACAGGTAACAGCAGGTTTCTTGGGAATATATTCTATGAGAAAAAGGAGTATAGGATGGTTATATGTTATTAAGAAGCATATGCACAACTGAAAGAACATTTTTACAAACTGCTTCTTAATTTAGCCATTAACACATGAACTATTTCAAAATATTATTTTTAACCATCATTAAATTAAAATCATAACAGGACACTATCCTGATGTGGTAACAAGCAATACAATTTCATCAAAGCTTTCTCAATTGACAATCAGAAGCTTCACGAAAATAAATTGTGGTAACAAAGGCATGGTGATAATGACACGTTAAAGGTGAGACAAAAAAACAGCACAAGCATTTTGAAATAAACTAAGAAAAACACATGCAAGAGATAAAACTAGAAAGAAAGAGCAGAAAAGAAAAGGTTATACAAATAAATCATAGGTTTTTACCTTTTCATATGGATTTTTAAAAGATGAAAGGGGTTCCTTTCTCAAGAAGAATGGAGGAAAAACCCACAAGTTTTGTCTAGATATATAAAAAGTAAAGCCTGCTTACTGTTGGCAAAAATTGTCAGAATCTTGTGGAGAACAGAAAATAAGCTAGAGAACTGAGAATAAGAGCAAAGCTACCTTGTCGTTCTAGGAAAAGGGTATAGGCGTATATAAATGAAAAGATTACTAAATAACCAAAATGAAAAAATTACTAAATAAACAATATACACAAAATCTTGGAGGATATGATAAAAATACCATAGATATTTTACCCATAGATAAATTACTGAATTCTTCTCTGAAATAACTGCATTGATGACTTAGAGAAAAGCATGTACCACACCCTAATGTTAGTATAACTTTCAATATTACACTGGTGCTTTCAAGAAAAGAACAGTTTTTAAGCTCTAGCTTAAATCAACAAAACAGCTTGGTTTGGAAACTTAGGTCAAGATTCCGCAGAAATCTGTACCAGCCTGCCTCTAGACACATCCTCCTCCTTTTTATTTCAACAGCCCCGATGTATATTTGCCAAATTGTCACTTATACTTTTACTTAATACATTAATAAATTATCTGTAATTAAGTTAAAATAATGGAAATTACAATTTTTGAACATATCATTATGTAACATTCTACATTTTAAATTTTTTTTCCCTTCCTACCTTTTGAGTTCATCTCACTTTGCACAGTACCTCATCTTAACGTGAATACCGAAACTTATGTTCCCTTCCAAAGGACATTAAAATCACTGTCATGACACTATTTTGTTTCTGCTTTTTCTGTATTTCATTTGCTTCTGTTTCAGCAGTAATACTATTTTGTTTGTTTTCAGGCTGGCGTACACTAACCTGAGTACCTGATAAGAACTAAGTGAAAATTGAGACTTCAGGTCACGATCTGATTTGCTTTCCCCAGCCCCACACTGTGCACACCCTAACGAAATAAAAGTTAATTTCCCTGTAAATATTTAATAACCTTTACTTCTTTCAACAGCAAACTTAATCACTACTTTTGATTGCATGACTGAAATGTTGAATTCACTTGCTCAATGTAAATTTGACATCAGATGGGTAAGATTTTTTCCTTGCATTATCCTAGAATGAACATGCAAAGAATGGAGATCCAAGTTCATCTGAACAATATGTGAAGGCAATGGCATAACAAAGAATGGTAGTATTTTCCAAATGAACAGTTCAGACAAAGAGACAGTGATTGTTCACAAATTATTTCATTTTCTGAAAATAATGGAAGCAGGAGAAGCAAGCCACATCCTTAAAAGGTAAACTGTGAATATTTTTGACAGAACACGAGACAGTAATAAAGCTACCCAGCCACTTCACATTTCTGTCTTTTCAGAGATCTAGACTACACAGCACATTTTGTAACCCTGGAATAGAACATGCCAGACTGATCCTATATAGTCAGTTTTCCCTCTCGCCTGCAGAGAGGGCAAAGATTTCAGATCTGCTGAGCAAAGGACACCTTTCACGGCAAAGTACTAATTTCTTTAATGTGCAGATGAAGAAAGGTAACAAAAGTGGTCTCCAGAGCCTGAACTACCTGCTTACCATTTTGATGAGGAAACAAGGAACAACATTTCATCCCCTTCTTTCTTCAGCATAGACTAAGAGAAAAACATTACAGGATGGACAACTTTGCCCTGAGAAGGTCTACATATTATTAACTTATTGTACAGCGCTTCTCTGAAATTTCTGCATTGTCAATACCCTTGTTGATTCCTTCAGCAAAGCAAAGGATGAAGGAAAAAAATTACTTAAACTGCAGAAAAGAAGGAAAAATGCTTTTGTGTTGCTAAAACACGACCAAAAATTCAATTTCATCTAAGCTTTGCTTAAACTAATATTTTACATCTCTTTGCTATTTTTCGCTATTTTTCCTTTCATTAAAAAAAATCCATATGAACGCAGTTGAATATCATAAAGCTCTTCAAATTTTAAAGTTCTTCAGAACAATTGTTTTGAAGGGAGTCCTTGACACTTAAATGAATGTTATAGATTTTTAATGAAAGTTATATGATTTTTAGTGACTTATTGAATTTGAGCACAAATGAGGAAAACCAGGCATAAGCAACCTAGGTGTATTTAAATTACAGTATCTTGCTTGAGAGTTTGATGGATTTTGTATGTTCTGACAATGAAGCTATTAGACAGCCCAAGCTGAGATTTCCTTTTTTTTTCCCCTTCACTGTTATTTTTGGTTTTAATCTTTATTAAATATTTATCTTTCTTTCTTTTTAAAAAATTTAGAAAACCAGGGATTTTTGTCAGGCTTGCAGCTAATGATGCCATTCCAGTGCTACATTTTATTACACCTTGTGATGATACACTGCATTCCTTAGCTTAACCATTCTTGCTTACTTGACTGATGATGCCCTGGAACTGAATTTATAAAAAACTGACAAAAAAACCCAAAAACCCACAAAAAAAATTGCACAATTCCAAGGAAGCCTGATATCAGAATTTTGAATTACACAGAACTCTTGCTGAAGTGACACAAATAGGACTGGGCCTACACAACACAGATTTGTTTATCCCTGAACATTATCTACTTAACTCTGATACCTTTATAATTTCTCAGCTCAAGCCCCAGTTTTAAATAACATTATTTAAAATATTATTTTAGTATTATTGTTATTATTGTGTTTCAGCACAAGAACAAGGCACAGTTTTTCTGGTGGAAAAGCACTATTTACTAGAGGTTTTTATTTCATGGAAGAAAAATAAATTAACAGGAAACTATCTACTAAGACTGTTATTTCCCTGTAGATTATGGAAGGGAAAACAAAAATCTCAATGTTGAAGAAATGAGGCTGAAAACAGGAATCATACATACTCAGTTTCTCTGGTGAAATGAGGTGGAATGTCTGTTTCACAGTAAAAAGGCCAGCTACACATATGAAAGCCATTTTTATTGGGATCTGCAGTCTATGTAAAGCTTTAAACTCTGTTGTCTGAAACTAAAAGCAGGAAAACAAAATAAAGCTGGAGCAGTCAAAACTTGCTAGGAGTGAAAGCTACAGGTACAAAAATGAGTTGATGAAATAAGATCTTCTTTGGGAGTATTGAACACATGAGATAGTTGAAATTTTTGACTTGCACAGTGGAGTCAGGGAATCAGTTTGCACAACCCACTGGGTTTTAACCTCCTGGTGTTTTCATTTCCTTAGACCCATGTGATGTCTCCTGCATCTTGTCTGGGTGCCTGGAGCAGTCCTGACACAGATGTCCTCACCTGCTTGCCTCCTGCTCCCAGAGCACTCCTATTCCATGCTGACAGAAACAGTTCATCCATGAAAAAGTTGTGGGGGAAAGGAAGGTAGAAGAATGAAACCACTTGGCTAAAAACTAGGATTATTTGGCCTGAAAAATTACAGTTTTAAATACCACTGGACTACTGACATCAGCAGCATAATATCACTTAAGAGCTACACAGACATCACTTTCCTTGGGTGATAAATACTAGAGAGATAAGAGTATTTCATCAAAGCAAGCAAGAAAATTGAGGTATTCCACATACAAAGGATTAATTATTTTTCCTCCTATTTGGGGACAATTTATATCCTCCCCTTCTGGCCCCAACTCAGAATGCTGAAATAAATGTAATGGTGCATTTTGCTTTACAAGTCAGCGGTAGTTCAGTGAACAGGCTACCATGCTATTTCATGTGAGAAAAGAAGATATGATTTAATGTAATTTTCACTAGCTAGATTCCTAGCTATTCCTAGGGGATAGTTTAAGCCTGTAAGGCATTTGTACTATATACCGTCTGCCCCTCTGTATTTTCATAGAGTATAGGTGAAAAATTAGCTGTGTTTCTTATACCTGCTGTGCATCAACGATAAACCTCTCCATACTCACAGATGTAGAAATATTCCCGGCCTGGCCTGAACTCAAATCCCAGTGAGAAGGGCGTGAAGAGCTGGAACTTTTCCGAGAACTTCAATGGTCCATTTGGGGAATGTGGCCGATTACACTCCCACCTCTTGAACCCTTTGGAAGTGTGATCACAGGAGCTGTAGCCATCAAAGTTCACCATGTATAGAACATAGCGTTCGGTCTTATCTTCTGGTACCGAGTCTTCATAGTGAGGGCAGAACACATCCAAGTAGTCATTGATGCAGACATCAATGTGGTAGTCGCCTCGCTGAAATCTGAAATCACAGGAAGAGTTTAAACATAAGCACAGTTATCTCAAGACAACCTTGTTGCAGGGTGACATTCTCATATGAAAGGGCATCACTAATGGCACTTCACTTCATCCCAGCCATGCACATTCACTCTCGAAAATGAGCCTTACAATTCACCAGAGCTATCAGAGACTTATTATGCTTATGTATGATCATACAACTTTTTTGAAAAAGGTTTTGCTCTATTTTTTTACAAAATAAATCTGTTGCTATTACCCACCCAGATATAGGCTATCTTCCTACGGTTTATTGAAAAATAAACCAAGAAAGTGTCTGTCTTATTTGGCTGGGTTTTTTTTTTAATTGAAGAAAGAGAAAAGAAGCAGCAAAGATGCCAAAACTGTATCAGCCTTCCCAAATCAGTGTCTATATAAACATCTGCAAATGCATGCAAATAAAAAACCCAAACATATCCTTTACTCTGCATCACTCAGTAATCACCCCTGTGTCGAAAGCTGATTTAACTGCAAATACTTATAGTTACTACAAGAATACAAACAAGTTACTCTTTCGTCATAATAAGCCACAGTTTGTCAAGATGCAAAGAAAAGTCTGTATTGTTTTTAGAGATTTGAAAAGCAGTGTTTCTCCTTTGCCAAAAGTACACACTGAAGATGTTGCACTGTTCAGATAAAAGGATTCTGGGATACAAATTATCAGCACTCAGCCTGATGTGACAGATCTGAATGAGTGCCAGCTGAGAAATGCAGTGCAAGGCACCAGCCCAGATGCATTTTGTTATTGCTGTTATTATTACTGACGACTCCTTAGAGATGTGGGATTCTTGTTTGTTGGGGGCAGGGAGGATTTCCTTGTTTCTTCCCTGCATGTTTCACTTATGTTACTTTTCTAATGCCTCCTATAGTGTCTGGAAGTATGGGGACAAATTCCTTGCCTTCATGGGAGCTTATACCATGATAGATTTAATGATTCCATAAACCAGGTCTGTGCATTCATTAAACTCCCTGGGGCAGCTGAAGAAACCAACCACTGACCTACTCCACTTCAGGCTGACTGGGCTACTTGTAGCTTCTCCCTTTCACAGCTGCAGTTGTCAAGTGTACCACACATCAATAAAAAGGCCATGACAGATTTAACTATAATACTTCTTTTAGCAGAGGGGCATATTTTAAACACCTGATGGGATTGAAATCTTCCATCCAGATCCTTCTATCTAATTTCAGAGAAAAAGCAATGATTTGCTGGCCCTCCAAGGATAAATTCAGAGCAAACTACATATTTTCATATCCCTACAATAATTTAACTTCAATAAAATAGCTTTTTAAAGGGTAAAAAACTGAATGTGCATCAAAGCACCTGTAAAATTTCAGCCAGTGCACAGCCTCACAGTTCCACTCTACAACATGGAAAAGCCTTTTTGAACCACAGTTCTTCCAGGAGAATTTACATTTATCAAAATTGTTGGTCAATATATATATTTTTATACTCCAGTGCTTCCAAAATCTGTCACTTGAACAGATAATGTCTCAACACTTTTGCAAAAATGTATTGTCTTCAAATTGACATCTGTACTCTGAATCAGTTAACAGTATGCTTTTCTTACAGGTAATGAAAAAGAGTGTAAGATACAAATAGAAAATACGCATTCGGGCAAGAATATCTCTATTTTTTCAATTACAGTTTTAGTAAGTAAAAATTGATACATACTTATATATAAGTGTGTTTGTGTGTGGACAGGATTTTTGTTTGTTTGTTTGACCATGTAGGTAATAAATTATTTGGTTTTCTTAAGGTTACCACTTTTATCAGCCTGTGCCTTCACCATAATGCCCAATTACACTTCTGTGACACAAACTATACGCTTCCAGAACTATACTTATGTATAATTCAAGATCACAGCGACCCTCTCTACCATTAGACTTTTACAACACCAATAACCTTATGTGAACTGCTTTTCCACATTATTTTCAAAGTCAATGGAGAGCAATAGGAACTTCTGTTGTTCTGATGTTCAATTCATCCAGCCTCTTTAGTACATTGCAATGAGATGGATCACACTTCCAGAAGCAGCAAATTCTCTCCTTTAACCAAAGGCAGAGTTTGGAGAGACACTTCCCAGACAGTGTCTGCACTGTAAATAGCTGAATTTGAAGGGAAGAATCCAACCGCACAGCCCATGATAATGGCGATTATAAGAATGACATTCAACTAAATGTGTAATCATATCTTAATTCCAATTTAGCAATGAAATCAAACTTGTAATCTGCACCAGTGAGATGATGCAGAAAAAGAAAAATTAAACCTCATCTGTCTCCCTTTTGGCTAAGTTTTCCTCTGTATTCTTGCTAAATAAACAAAACCACAATGTAACAATCCTCTTTGATCACTGGTATTTTAGTGGATTCCATCTTATTTTTTTTTTCTAAGTGTTGAAATAGTTGAGCATTTCCATTCATTCCAGCACACCCCAGACTCTGAAGTGGTCCCTGCAAAGCAGGTCTGAGGATGAAGCACACAATCAAGTCCTTTTTATCCCAATGTCTTTTCCTCCCACTCCCCTGTTCTCGCAACAATTTCATTACTCAGTCATCCACCATAGGTAGTAAGTGTTTACATTTATGAGTGGAAAAAGGGAAGGAGATTGTGAATATTTTAAGCAATCTAAATTAGACTTTAGTCAATATTGTTGGCACAGGACAACCTCCTCCAGGGCAAATACGTACCAAGGTATTTTATCAAGCAGCTCTGAGTGAAGTCCCTTTACTCCAGGTTATTAACCAACTATGAATCAGAGAGCAGGTATTTATTTCCTGTCTTGCAATATCCTAAAAAAGTCAGTAATCAAAAACTCAGCCGGTATGTAAAGAAATGTAGAACTAATTCTGTGTTTCCAAAGAGACTACAACATCTCCAACTCTTCTGTTAGTGAACTGAGACCATTCCTGTTTCTTGAGCTACAAGCAGCATGTTGTATTTACCTCCACAAAGAGGAAAGGTAAAGTCTTCTAATCAGAACATAAAATTAAGGGATGGCCATGAGTAACTCACAAAAAAATTCATCAGCTTAGTCCTCAATGCTATTAAAGAAAACACTTCCAAGAATTTAACACCACATTTGGGTAGAAAACAATTAAATTTACACACATTTACAGGCTGAAAACCTCTTACTTAATAGTATAATGCCAGAGTGAAACAAAAGTTCCATTACAAATTAAAGCACTGCTCAACATTTAGCCATCTACATATACTGAGGAGTGAAACATCTAAAAGGAAGATGAAGTCCATTAACAGACATTTACAGATATGACAGAAATAGCAGATGTCCTGTCCCTTTTTCCAGTCCCATTCCAAACAGAAAACTTGCTAATATGTTACTGCTATATTTTCTCTTTTCCCAATTAGGTCTTCATCCTGTTCTGGCAGGTCCTCACCGAGACTCTCATGCCTTTTGGAACCATGTGGTTAACAGGAACTTTAATCTAGGAAGAAACCAGCTCCATCTAGATTGCATAACAGAACATGGTGTTGTGGTAGAAACCAATCAAAAAGGCTTCTCCAAAAATCTGACAGAATCTACACACCTTTTTGCAAATAATGTCATTTGTCTCCATGCACTCCAGCTTACACACAGCAAAACACTGCTATTCTTCAAACATAATTAACCTTTGGTTTTTGTCAGGTTGCATTCAAACAGTGTCTTGGGAAGTTGCATACTACAAAGCCAGCTATTAGGCAGTAGCGTTATAAAATCCTTTTTGAAGAGAGACAGATAATTAAGTAGTTTCTACACCTAAATATTTCCATAACCAACAAATATCAGTTTCCTACACAAAACCTGAACACTGCTTCCAGCAAAGCCTGTCAGAGGAATATTTCTGTGCTTAAGTGCCACTGATGAAATATCCAGGTATTCAGGATGCAGAGAGAAAACTTCATGGTTATGTTAACCACAGAAAAACAAGAATAGCAAAACATTTTGTAAATAATTAGTGTCTCCTGTATTCTGTTTATCCCTTAACAAAGGGAAAGTACATGGTCTGTGTGCACGCTTCTCTTCATAATTTTAAATTCTGAAGCCTAAGTGACCCATCTTGAACTTAATGTCTTTGCTGGTCACTGAGAAAAGTTACAATTTATTTAAACAGATATTTAAAACACAGTAACAATTTTGTTTGGTTTCTCCCTTTCTTCCTTTCTTTCTTGGAATAAACACTACAAAAATCCAGTTTAAGAACAGCACAAATAACACTAATTGTTCATTTAGATAGATAAAAACTTTCAATATTTCTGCTTGTTACTTCCACTACAAATTCTATTAGTTATATTCTATTGCCCTTCCTGTAAAATTGACACACTAGATGCTCTACTTCAAGATAAGCGTACTGGAAAATTTGCCTTTTACTGTGTCAACCTTTCTTTATTTGCAATCTGTTCTGTCAAATGCATGAAGCAAGGCTTCACCGTGAACCAGAAAAGACTCCAAATAATAGCTCTGACAATAAATTATGAAATTCTGGTCTTCAGTCAGGTACTGGAAGTTATCAGATGCAAATGACCCCTATTCTGACACCAGGAGCCTGCACAGCCTGTTAACACCAACATGCAGAGGACACTGCCACTGTCAAATGCCTTGCCCCGTCACCTTTTTCTCAAATGAAAACCTGAAATGTAAAACAATATAAACAAAATTCACCCAACTGATTTATTCTTGGGGTAAATATAAACTACAATTATGCACAATTCTTCAGAACAGCACAGCAAAACATTACTTCTTCTGTTTCCTAAGGAAAAAAGATTTCTGTGAACAGCATGCACATACCCCTACAAATGCTAGTCACTCAACTCCCCCTTTTTTACTTTCATGGAGGGTAAGCCACTTTTTAATTAAGTTTAATGGAGACAGTGAGGTTTCAGAGAGAAGGCCATTCCTACAAATACCATGAAAAAAGCAAGCCAGGTGAGAAGATTCCACAGGTGTCCAAAGGCTGAATCTTCAGTAGGTT